CTCATGTGTTCCAACCCGACATGCAGGTGATCTCAGCTATTGGCAGTGCCCTGAGTTTCGTTCACGGACAAGGTGCTGCCTGCACAACAGACAACCACATAGCCATGCCATGAACTTAGCCGAGTTTGAAACATCGCCTACATTCTGCCTGTTGTCTGCAGGGTTCCTCCATCGTGATGTGAAGTGCGCCAATATCCTCCTATCACGAACCGCTGCCTGGTCCTCAGGTTAAACTCGGTGGGAACCGTGTCTTCCACAATCATGTTGATAGCCTGCGCTGACGGGTCAATTAGAACTTGTAGAACTTGCTGGATTTTTTTTCGAGACGCCTGGATGGCCGGCAAAGGGGTGTGGTCTACCTTCTGGACCCTGCAGCTTTTTCTGTCATTCTAAAGTTAGGCTGTTACCGGCCTCAAGATGCCTCAAGCAAGACTACCAGTTGACCAAATGCAGGCAGAGTAAGAACGACAATGTTTTGGTTCTTTGCCAGCAGGAAATTATGAGAGAGTGACTTCGCCTGCTTTGGGATTCTTGTTAAACCTGTGGACAGTGAGACTCGCCATCGTCAGAAGGTCTGGTCAATCATGTTGTCGCTAGAGATCTGGCAAGTTGGTGCAGACCGGAGAACATGTTTCTGGCCGAATGGAATGAGCCGTCCAGTGTTCCCTAGCAAGATGTGGTCAGCAAAGAACTTGCCTGGTTACCTTGATTCATGGACCAGCTGGCACCTGCAGGATAGACATTGCGAGGGTTGCGCTTGGCTTCAATCTACGCCTATCTATCCTTGACAACTTGAGGATCCAGACAGCACACACACCTTGTAAACCGTTCAATGCTCAAGTGTGCTTGGTAGTTGGAGAAAAGTGGCTCAGCTGCTCTCTGAGGACCGCATCGTTCTGGCAGACTTTGGCCTAGCCTGTGCCATTGGCAGTGCGGTGGAGGAAGAGACGAAGGAAGCCTTAGGCGAGGCCGTGGGTGTGAGGTCAGCATGGCTCCAGGGTCTCCTCGGATCCGGATCTAGGTAGAAAAGTGCCTAGTCTCCTCAGTTGCCAAGTGCAAAGGCTCTTTTAACTCTTGTGAGATGAGGCGCTGGTGTATTGGGAGCCTGATTGCCTCAGCCACAGTGTATTGGGCTGTGGACTTCACTGTACGCTGTTGATGATTTCAAGATCAGTCATTTCTTGCCCTTTGATACTTCCGAGCTGACTTTCCCTAAACTATGCAGATCACGGAACCTTCAGGAAGCGTTGGGCCGTGTCTGAGGGATCATGGGAATTGCCAGGCTCGTTTGGCTGTTGGGGTAAAGAGATTTACCATTTCCACTTCCTCTCTGCGGGTTGTCTCTTTGATTTTATGCTGAGACTCACAGGCAAAATTGTGACTGACTCACGAGGTACACCCAGCTACTTGCCACCAGCGCCTTGGCTGCATGTAGCACAGCAACACTGGCATCGTTGCGGTACTGTGCCTAGCAGCGCTCAAGGAGATTGCTTGTGGTGGATCTCACAGTCCAGCGGCGGACGCTTGGTGTCTGGGTGTGGCTTGGATGCACCTTCAGGACACATGTTGATGTCAAGTTGCAACTGACACAGCAACTGAGCCTGATATTCTCTGAAAAATGGCTCTGTCCGAGGTAGTCTCCTTCAAAGTGGCTGCCTTGCGCCGTCCCTTCGAAGCCCGCGATGACACTACGCTGCGGATGAAGATTGTGGCCTGCATGAGACCAGGTTGACTTGACAGCTGATCTTCCTGTCGTTTGGCCTGCGAGTCAGAAGTGGGCAGGCTGTGTCATAGAATTGGAAAGGTCAAGGATGAGCCGAACAAGCTTCCAGAGGACACCCCAGCAGACATCGTGGAAGCCGTCAAGGGCCTTTTGCACAAGGCCAGAACTTCCGGAGCTTGGCAAGATGCTTTCACAAAAAGACTGTTCAATCTTCCGATTGTCAGACCCCGGAGAAGCGGATGCTGCCAGCTGCAGCCTACGAAGTAACGCACAAGTCTCTCATCGCCAGGCTCGTTTCTTGACCTAGTGCCGTGACGGATCTCGAGAATCGCAGTTGGCTAGGGCTTCTCCGCCAAAGCTCACAGCGTGCTATCATTTATACTCTTGGCATGTCTCCCGCGCACTTCTTGCGCTAGTTGCTGCCAACAGTTTTCTAACGAAGGCAACAGTCCAGGTCGCAAAGCTGAAGAACCGACCTTGGTAGGCATAACTCTTTGTATTAGCCATGTGGTGGCGCCCACTTCTGCGACCGACGCTTCGAGCCACCGCTGGTGCAGCTGCGCTGGCGTCGGGCAGCTGGATTAAGCCGGCAATCTCGGACTGCGATGGCCGGGTGGTTGGACGACAAACGCAAGAAGCAGTCTATCTACTCAATCTACTCCCTGGTTGTGACATTGTCGTAGGGCTGTGCATCGTTGGTTTGTAGTAGATTTGCGGGCAGCAAGTTGCTCTTTGCGTGATCTTGTCAGCAAAGCAAATGCATGCATACGTGTTTATGTGATGCAGGCAAGCAGTTGGCCGGCCACCGCCACCGCCGCATGGCGACACCACTGGACGTCCGACTGGGGCTCACCAAGCCGGAGGCACGTCTCGCGTGTGAGAAGATGGTAATTTGCGGTATGCAGCAGCCGTGCATGTGTGGTGGGTATGCTCCGTCAGGATGTGTCCTTTAAGCTGCGCTGGGGCATCCTGGGATGCGGGCCCATCTCTTCTGACTGGTGCAAGTGCTTGAAGGAATGGGCGTCCATATGTTTCAGCTGAAGTTCTTTGGCTGCGCTGGCAGGAGGTGCCTGGAGCCGTGCTGCAGTCTTGTGCTGCGCGGGATGCCGGAAAAGCAGCCAAGCAGCTTGGGACGCGGTGCTGGATTCCTTGATCGGCCTGGGTGCGCTTTGGAAGCTCCTGCCAACTGAGGTTTGCTGCCAGTCATGGTGTGGAACGTGTAGCTGGGGACTACCAGGCCCTAGTCGCAGATCCCAATGTGGACATCGTGTACATTGGGACCATCACTCCTTTGCACAAGGCTGGGCTGCAGAGTCTATGAGCGGTTATGGGTTGATCTGCAACCTTCCTGTCGTCACCAAGGAGCAAGCGATGATGGCCATTAACGCTGGGAAGCACGTGACTTGTCTCGTAAAGCACAGAGGGTCAGTGCAAAGTGGCTAGTGAAAACATGTAGGCTACATATGAGCTACTGCTTATATGAGCCTTATTAAGGGACCCCTATGTCCACTGCCTCTTGTAGTATAATCCTTAATATAGTCGTGAAGAAGGAAGCCATGTCCATTACTCATTTGGGAAATACTGGCTGTAGCTCATATGATGTATTTCTTGCCAAGAGCATCCAGCAGGAACTGTGCTGCTGCAGGTCCTCTGCGAGAAGCCAATTGCCACCACTGCAGCGGATGCCGCAGAGCTCTACGCTGCTGCGGAGGCCAATTGACCAGACGCACTGAGACCGCCCAAAGCCCGTGATGGTCTGAGCAAATTTCCTGTTGGAGTCTGGCCCCTGTTTCAGAGGCCAAAGGAGTTGCGCTCATCGAAGGCTTCCCCGTCAAACCTGATGTGCCACTGTTTTTTGCTATTGTACTAGTTCACATTTCTGAGACGCCCTGTCTGCTCATGCGACGAGGAATGTGGACGCGATACTTCCCAGCTGTAGAGCACGCACGTGCTGCAATCGAACTGGGTGGCTTGGCCCGGACCTTGCAACAACGGTAATCAGAGCAACGGGCTTTCATCACACGCCACTCCTGAGCGCTTTACATCTCTTTACAACCATTTCAGGCAGGATCGGTGAAGTGCGGATGGTGCAGGCAACTTTGCCCAGAAGGGACGTTCAAGTTTGCACCCTGCGCATGCACCTTGAACAGTGCTATGCTGCGCTTTGCAACTGCTGCACAGGCAGACTTTCCTGAGATCTGCTATGCTGTGCAGTATGCGCCCCTCTTTTTTGGGGATGGGGCGCCATCAACAGTGGTGTCGGCGGGCACTGGCAGCACGGGTGCAGGGGCCGTCATCCACTATGCCAATCGAGGTGAGATCGCATTTCCTTAAGTGTGGCATGCTTCACTGCTTTCAAAGCTTTTTCAGATAAGTTGTTTGCATCCTTTGGCTCGAGGAACATGAAGGAGTGTGTTTTCAATCATGTTGTGCGAGGCCTCACTATTACTAAAATCTAAAGACTTCTGCTCGCAATTGGCCCTTGCCAGCTCCAGTTAATCATAAATTTCCGACAGGTTGCGGAGTTTGCTGGCAAAGGGAGACAGATGTTTGGCAACTTCGTGTCGTAGACCAGGAGACGACAGAGATGTCGTCTGTCGATGGTCAGGTTTCAGTTTTGAGCCGGCCAAAGGGGCTGCCTGGTGTAAGAAGTTGCCGAGGTACATTGTGGAGAGGTACATCTTTGAAGCTGCAAATCCAAGACAATTTGCTTTTCACGATGTGCCATGGAAAAGAAGCTCAGTGGGGCCTGTGGCGTCGCTAGGATGCGAGAAGGATTACTTCCAAGGTGGAAGTCCGAACGAAGTCGGGGACAACCCGCCTTGGGCAAAACTGCAAGTGTAATTCCTCACTGGCAGCAGGTCCGGAAGTTTGCCGTCGTTACAAGGTGTAACCGAGTCGAAGAACAGTGCTGTTCACTTTGACATCTCTAACTCTCGGACATGGGTGTATCGCGTGGTTTTTTTGGCCAGGAAGCGGCCAGCACCAGAGAGCAGACTCGTTGAAGTGACTCATGCTTGGGAGTGAGGTGAAATCTTGGTAGCTGGACGCTCCAGAGCAATCATTGAATCGCAGAATCCAAGAACCGGATGTAGAGAAGGCTTGCTTCTAGCTCGAATTTGTCATGTGTGGCGAGTAGTTCGGATCGGAGGCAAGCATGGCCAGCAAAAAAGACGCGACTTGCTCTGTGTCTTGCAGCTGACTGGCTTTGCTTACGAGTTGGATGAATTGGTCAGGTGCCGCAGTGCTCTCATTCCCCAATTGGGCCTGTGAAGTACCTGAGGTGTGCGAGGCGCAGCTAAGCTTGATTTTCTCTACCTTCTGCCAAAGCCTGCCAGGTCATCGGAACAAAGGGCCGGATTACCTTGGACAACTGGGGCATGCACCCTGCGCGGATAACGATCCAGCTCACAACCGAGCGCCTCGACTGTGCATATGCTGGATCATCGCAGATGTAATGAGAAGCCAAGGCAGTGTTGGGATGAGCCGCAGGGTCACACTTCTACCGCACAGAACGGCGTGAGGTGCAGACCTTCTTGCAACCGCAGCAACATTCAATGTCGTATTGAGAAACCGGATATTTTCTTTTACTTCTGCGATGACAGTGCCGCAACGTGCGTTCAAAGCATGGCCGAGCACGCAGTCCTAGATGAGACATCCAGCTTTTTTGACTTCAGGCCGCACATGGAGCAGGTGACATACCCTGTCCCAGAACCAGCTCCCCGGTCGCGAACCATGTCGCTAACCTGTGAGTTTTTATTTTTTATTTTTTATTTTTTTATTTTTCCTTACTACTGTGGCACTGGGGCTAGTGTTGGGCCCCTCCCCAACAATGGGGTTGCAGAAAAACAAAACTTAGGCATCCTCAATAGGGGCTCTCTAGACCTAGTACCAGTAGTAATATGTGTTATTTTACTGGTAGTATTAGTATAAGTAGTACCATGTGTTTGCGTATCTGGCCGTGGAACATTCTACACTTTTCCAGAAATAGCTGCATTATAACCACATTGCAGCCAACAAAGCTGCAATGAATTTTACAGCCCGATGTGCGCACAGTCGAGTAATACTCTGTAAGGCAACAGCCCCTCGTGCACACGCGAGCACCTCAAGCATAATGGCCGTCATGTGCGACCGCCGTGCCCAAACCACAAGGTTCATGTTCGACTGCATCCGATGACCAGATCATCCTTGCCCAGACTTTAACTTTCATGTTCGACTGCATCCGATGACCAGAGCATCCATGCCCAAACCATAACGTTCATGTTCGACTGCATCCGATGACCAGAGCATCCATGCCCAAACCATAACATTCATGTTTGACTGCATCCGATGACCAGAGCATCCATGCCCAAACCATAACATTCATGTTTG